TCGAACGCCGGGATCGTGTACGCCGGGTAGTCGAAGATGCTCGCGGCCGTCGCCGACGCGAGGAACGACAGGATTGCGAGCTTGGAAGCCACCATGGTTGTGGGTTGTTGATAGTAAATCGGAGAATGAGAGCGCGCTGCAATGACGAGGAGCGCTTCTCAAGACCAATGAGTGGACGACGGCAAACACACCCATCGCTTGAATTGGCCGCCAAGATTTGCCTTTTGGATTCCCACAGCATCATTAGGTGCATAAAATGTACTTCATGATATCAGATGCTTTATTCGCAGGCAATAATTGCTAGTTACATTGTAGTGTCAACAAGGACATTTGTTTATTCATGGCCTTGGTATCAAGTTTTTGGACATAAGCGGGTAAGTTTACGGCACTTGCCAGCGTCCACCTGAAGTGAATTACTTCTGGTGGACGCTAGCAAGTGCAAGGACATAAATGGGTCACTGTCGCAAACACTAAGGTCTTGCAGATGGAGTCAAACATAGTCCGTTGTGCGTGCGTTGTCAACAATTGCCGTGCGCCGGGCTGCCGGCGCATACAGAGTGATATAAGATCTGAGCTGGAGACATTACGATGCAAATGGGATTGCCATCACAGCCTCGCTAGCTACATGCAGCCTCGCCATCGGAGCAGCTGCCCATCTGAACTACTTCAACGGTGCTGTGTTGCGGCTCTGCGACTTGAAACTTCCGCGAATTTTCTTTGTCGTGTTTTAGCCACGTTCAAATTAGCATCAACATTTTGATGCTATTGTAAACAGTCCTAATCTGTGGTCATTTTAGCATTGGAGGCCCGATTTGCTAAGGAGATAATGCATTTCTGTGTGTACTAGCATGACAGTCGACTACTCATGAAGTTATGAGTATGTATCGTATACCAGTAGAAACTATTGTTGATGTCCGGAATTGTCTCACTTCTGTTATGGTACCTTTTTAGTATGACTTACCTGGTATAATCGTTTGCTTAATTAACGCCTATTTCTTCTTGCGGAGCGAGATCCAGAGGGCCACAATGCCAATCAAGCGGAAGAAGAGGTTGATCCAGATCAAAAAGATAACGTCGTAGCCCATGCTCTGCTTGTCGTGACCGAGGTTCGCGAGAACTTGAGCGCCCGTCGTCGCGGCACACGGCGCGCTGTCGCACGGAATCGTGTCGATCGAGTTCCAGAAAGCGCGACTCATGCCGCGGAAGGCGTACTTCATCGGCGAGATGAACTCGAGCCACTTCAGGTAGACGGGTACGTTGTTGGTGTTGATGAGAAGACCGCCAAAAATGAGGAGCGGGAGGATGAGGAGGATGCCAAGGATGGGCGCGACCTCGGGCGTCTTGGCAATGCACGACACCATGTAGCCGAGGCCGGTCGCCGAGCTCGAGAGGAGCGCCATGAAGAGGTAGAACGTGAAAAAGAGCGTCGCGTTCGAAGCGCCAAAACCGATCATAAAGTACGCCGGGATCAAATAGATGAGCGGGAAGAAGAACTGCAGCAAGAGCTCCGAGACGTTCTTGGCAATGTACCAGACGTACGACCGGTAGAGACCTCCGTTGTACTCGCGCTTCATGAGCGGCAGCTCGAGCGGCACGGACGCAAACTCGGGCGTCGTCGCGCTGAAAAACTGGTCGACGACGATGAAGAAGATGGCGCCCGAGAACGACTGGACGCCGGCCTGGTTCAACTCAATCTGCAGAAAGATCAAGCCAACGACGACCGAGACGATGATGCTCTGGCCAACGCGCGCCTGAAACGCAACCGAGTCACGCACGAGGCGCGCCACGTTGCGCTTGCAGAGCAAGTGCATCGAGCCAAACGTGCCGAGGTGCGAGCTTTCGTACACCATGTCGGTAGCGTCCGAGCCATCTTTGACGTCATCGTCGTTACCGATCGCGTGGCTGCGAGCGTGCCAATTGGCGACGAGGTTGTTGACGCGCGTCGCAGCCTCCGAGTTGGGGTCCAGCGCCGTGATCTGGCGCATGAAAAAGTCGGTCGGGTTCATAAAGTTGGGACATTGGTAGCCCTGCGACGCAAAGTACTCGACCGC